GGCGGAGCCTCCGGCCATCCCCAATCACCACGCGGTGAAAGCGGAGCCCGGCGACTCGCCGTACCCGGCCGCGCTGCACTCGGACATCCAGTTGCTGCCGCAGCAAGCCGGCATGGCCGCCATCCGCCGTGGTTAACAGTGAGTCCCTGGGGACGGAGAGCGTGGCGGGGAGAGACGTGGTGCAGCCCGCGGGGCCGGGATCATGCCAGGGGTCCCCAGCCCATCACGCAAGTGATGTATGTCCCTTCCTTGCCCCTTCCCCTCCACAGAGGACGTCTTCCCATGCAAGGACTGCGGAATCTGGTACCGGAGCGAGCGCAACCTGCAAGCCCACCTGATGTACTACTGTGCCAGCCGGCAGAGCGCCGGCTCGCCCGCCTTGGAGGAGAAGCCCAAGGAGACCTACCCCAACGAGCGCGTCTGCCCCTTCCCCCAGTGCAAGAAGAGCTGCCCCAGCGCGAGCTCCCTGGAGATCCACATGCGGAGCCACAGCGCCACGGCACGGCACGGCACGGCACGGCACGGCACGGCACGCTGCTGCAGCCTGGGGGCACCAAGCCACATGCAAGGACCCCCAGGAGCCGGCAGGGTGGAGGGGCAGGGAGGCTGCGGGGCTGCAGCACAGTGACCAGTTAGATGAGGTTCTCCCCCCAGTTGGGTTACTGGTTTGGGGCCACTCGCTTGTAGGTCTTGCCCCATCTCAAACCTGTAAAATTGTAGGGGGCATCCTGCTTCCCGCAGCCGGCGCCCTCCCGGCCAGCACAGCTGGCCCCATGGGGTGTTGCCATGGTCCCCGTCCCCCTTCCCTCGGCGCTGAGGCGTCCGCCTGTCTGTCCTGCAGGAGAGCGGCCGTTCGTCTGCCTGATCTGCCTGTCCGCCTTCACCACGAAAGCCAACTGCGAGCGTCACCTGAAGGTGCACACGGACACCCTGAACGGTGAGTGAGCGCTGCCCAGCGTCCCCGCAGGGACAGCCCTGTCCCCTCCAGCACAGCCTGGGGACAGGGACCCGCTCCCCACGGGTCTCTGCCTGCACTGCCGGGTGCCGTCGTGCCCGCTCAGCCCCGCGCCGCGTTCCCCGCAGGCGTCTGCCACAGCTGCGGCTTCATCTCCACCACGAGGG